GATGATGAAACAAACTCATCTACATCTTTGATGGCCTGGGGGTGAGTAAATTTTCAGCAAATTTACATTTTTTGGTGATGTATTTCTTTAACTCAGTCACCTCTTGTAAATCTGAATTCATAATACATGTAGGTATGCACCTTTTTTAGACTACTTTACTACATGGAATAATGCCTATTTATTAGGACACAGCCGGGCAGGAAAGGTACAGGACTATCACCACTGCCTACTACAGAGGGGCCATGGGCTTCATCCTAATGTATGACATTACTAACGAGGAGTCTTTTGCTGCCGTACAGGACTGGTAAGTGGATTTTAAATCTTACATTGTGCATTATGACAGCCAGAGCGTCTGCTTTCAACAGAAGTATTCATGAGCTTTCAGGATCACCACCGTGTGGGTTTGCCGAGGTGATCCAGTAGTTTCCGTCTGCCTGATGGCGTGAGACATTCATGCCTGTCGATCCTGGAGTCAAAATCTATAAATGAAAGTCAGGAATCATATCAGGAACATTTTATAAAGTAGAGCACATTTAAAAAACTAAATAAAAAGTACAGAATTATTACTTAACCATGGGTTTGTGTTAAAACTTTACTAGATTTTTAGTGTCTAAGCCAAAACATGAGAATAAAACAGCGTTTAAATCTAATTTTACTTAAGTTTTAATAGTAAAAAATAAACGTTTTTTTTTTCTTAATCTAGCAGATACAGACTTAAAGGGATAATTAATGCAAAAATGAAAATTATGTAATAATAAATTAACTTACCCTCATGTTATTCCAAACTTGTCGAAGAACATTGGTAACCAAACAGTTTGGTTACTATTGATGTCCCATGAATGGACAAAAATCTTACTTTTCTTAAAGGGGTCATATGATGCGATTTCAATTTTTCCTTTCTCTTTGAAGTGTTACAAGCTCTTGGTGCATAAAGAAGATCTGTAAAGTTGCAAAGACTAAAGTCTCAAATCCAAAGAGATATTCTTTATAAAAGTTAAGAGTTAACCACGCCTACCTAAAACGGCTCGTTCTAACACGCCCCCACATATCTACCTCACTATGTGGGAAGATTTGCATAACGCCGCCCAAATGTTCACGCAAAGAAAGAAGGCGTAACTTGTATTCTCGCTGTAGTATTGTTGCCGCTGCCGCCATGTCGTGAAGGCCAAATACACAAAATAATGTTATTTTTAGCAGCATCATATGACCCCTTTAAAATATCTTCTTCTGTGTTCCACAGAAAAAAGAAAGTCATATGAGTATGGAACGACATGAGGGTGTTTTCACAGTGTTTAAAAGTATAATTTCAATCATTTTCATTTTATTACAAATTAAATGCAAATTCTGTCATGGTTCCAGTGATTTTCCAGAAAGGAAATTGTGCACTGTATTTCAAGTCTTCTGAAGCCATACAATAGCGCTGTGTGACAAACATTTTAACGGTTTTCTAAATTACACAGGAGCGGGATTTATCTTTCGTCTTATCTTATGTTATCTTGTTAGTTTAGTAAGATGAAAAATACTTTTTGTACGAGATTTAAGCCATGATGACCTGCAAAATACAATACTACGTGTGTTTTTGAAGGAAATAGTATCACTTGAGTCAGGGGCGTCACGCACTCATTATTTGCAAGTTAGGCTACTATTCATAACACTTTCATTGTACAGAAAGAGAGCAAAGAACATTTACATTATCAAAGAACATTTTCACTGACAGTCTAGAGTTCAAGCACTCAAAAACTCCCATTAAAATCATTGAAGCTGTGTACACTATGAAATTAATATCTTACAGATTCGTACACACATTTGCACTTTGTTGTTTCTAATGAGAGAATTCGCCAGAAAGAGGTATTCAGTCAGCGAGCGAGCAAGTGAAGAAAACACCGGCATTTTAGCGATGACTCATCTGAGCACCTCTGATTGGTCATTGCATTCATAAGCTCAACAGCATCGTGTGTGATTGGTCGCAGACTTTAGCAGCTGATGATATGACGCGCTGAACGTTCTAATCATGCAGGTGTGATTGTATTAAATATAGAAAATATTAATCGGCTATTTTTTGTCTTTTGGAAACTGCATTCAAAATCCACTTGGCTCAAAAATCTGAGGGGGCACGTGCCCCCTCACTTTGAATGGGCATGATGACGCCTCTGACTTGAGTACAAATACCCCCAAAATACACTGTACTAATAAAGTGCCATAACATCTCTGGATTAGAGAACACAAAGAACATGCTGCTGTAGAGATGAGAAACAGGAACAGAGAGGGGCATAATCTGAAGAAGTGTGTTCAACATGATGTTCCCATTGATTCCGTGTGGCATGATGACATATTTATACAATAAAACTGTCAAAAGTTTTGGTATGAGTCTGGCACATCTTGTGCTAGAGGATGTCTGCTCACTTTTGTCTGGTCTTGTGTCAGGGCGACCCAGATTAAAACATACTCTTGGGACAATGCCCAGGTGATCCTCGCTGGAAACAAATGCGACATGGAGGAGGAGAGGATAGTGTCTGTGGAAAGCGGGAGAGTGCTAGCAGAACAGCTGGGTGAGATATATATAGATATACACTGTATTAGGGATGCACAATAATGTTTACCGATATACAATATGGCAATATTTTTCAACTAATTTTGGCCAATATATATATATATATATATATATATATATATATATATACAGCACCAAGTCTCTCCTGTGCAGAGATTATAAACATATTATTTTTAATTTTGAGCAAATACTTACTTGAGCATGTGTATCTCAGAGAGATATAATGATAGTGTATTATACACTATCAGTTGGGGTTAGAAAGATTTTTTTTGAAAGAAACTAATATTTTTATTCAGCAAAGACACAGTAAATTCATTAAAAGTGAAAGAAAAGATGTATAACATTACAAAAGATTTACATTTCAAATAAATTCTGTTCTTTTGAACTTTCTATTTATCAAAGAATCCTGGAAAAAAATGTATCACGGTTTCCACAAATATATATAAAAAAACGCTACTGTTTTCAACATCGATAATAATCAATAATGATGTCTCTTGAGCTTCAAATCAGCATATCAGAATGATTTCTGAAGGATCATGTGACACTGTATTTCAGAATATAACTGTTTTACTGTATTTTTGATCACATAATAGAAGCCTTGATGAGCATTAAAAAACATTTAAAAAATCTTACAGACCCCAAACTTTTGAAAGCCAATGTGTATTTCCTTTGCTTACCAAAAATCTCTCTTTCCGAAAAGGATTTGAGTTTTTTGAGACAAGCGCAAAGGACAACATCAACGTCAAGCAGACTTTTGAATGCTTGGTGGACATCATTTGCGACAAGATGTCAGACACTCTTGAGGCCGACCCTACTGTTACCACAGGAACGCCCACTACCAGACTGACAGACAACCCGACGCCCCCGCAGCAGTCTGACTGTAGCTGCTAGTGTTCGCCGTCCAGGCCGTTCGCTGCTGTGGCTCGAGCGCTGTCGCCAAGCTTCTGTATTCTGACACAGAATAAGTTACTGAACCTCAAATCTTTGGCCTGGCTTCCACTCCTAGTTTTTTTGGTGTTAATGACATAGCAAACTAGCAAGATTGTGCCAAACACAAGTGTCAGACCTTGTCCTTCCTTTATGCCATCATACCAGAATACAGGTCTTTTTTCAGGGGTTGTTAGTGTACCTGTGTCCCCTATACCGCAATATCTCTTATTAGTCATTTTAGCAAAAGTAGAAATGAGTTGAACTTTAGATGCTCTGCAATCATTCCCATGTCTCTCAGGGGAATTAAAGACTTCTGCAAATTTATAAATTCTACAGACTTGTCTAACTTATGTGTAACATATTGAGAGGATGTTGAATTTGCATTTTGCTGATGAGTCAGTTAGATCTGTTTGTGTGCGACCGTGTGTATGGAAAATGACTGCGAAAGCTAAAAAGTATGAGAAAAAATAAATGTGGCCTTGAAATGGTTATCTTGTCTAGATCCAGTCTTTCACATGGTCCTGTACAGAATCTGTATCTTCGTTCTTTTATTCAAAATAAAATAAAATTAAAAAAATAAAACAAAAAGTCTGAACCAGGATTATTATAGTAAAATAAAAACTAAAACCATAAAAAAATTGTTACTTGAAATAAACATTAACTGAAATTAATATAAAAAAAATTGTTTTTATTTCAGATAGCTGCCAAGAAAAGATTTCATTTTCATTTAGTTTATCTTGATGTACTAAAAAAAATGTAATTTAATGAAAATGTATATATAAAATTAACTGATCAAAATGACAAAAACTATTACAACTTTTTTTTAAATGAAAACAGAATATAAAAACTATATACATCAAAATTCATAGTATCTTAATGATAACAAAATAACACTGGTCTCAA